CTCCCGCTCCACCAGCGAAGGGCTTGCGTTCCTAGCTCACGAGCCTACATTCGACTCAATGGCCACCCCTATGGCAACCAGTTCGGGCCCAACTTCCCAGTCGGATCCCATATTGGACCTCCTCCACCGCATGCCGGCCACACTGGAGGCCAAAATCACGGCCCTCCATACTGACTTTTCATCCCTGTCGGCCCGCGTGTCACAGTTGGAGCCCCGTACCAGTGCATCTCCTTCCCCACCCCCCTCATCTGCATCTATGCCAGCTTCCTCTCCTTCTTCGGCTGACGGCTGGCGTCATCTACACGCTTGTCTCTTCCACGGGCTGCATGTCCTCACCCCAGTCCCACCCTTCCTCTGCAGCCATCTCTACCTCCCAGGTTTCTGCCCCTGCACCTCCCTCCTCAGGACCCATGGCATCTTGTCCCGCCACCTCCTCGACGTTAACTTCCACGGCACCTCCCTCATCACCCTCCGCTCCTTCGCCCCTCCCCCCACCCCCCCTTACACCCAGGACACAGAATGCCGAGCTCCAACGCCAGCTCACCCTGGCCCATGATCACATCCGCCAACTCCAAGGAGGTCAACTCTGCCTCCCCACCTCGTGGCACAGCCTGTTGCCCCTTTCATCTATCGACAGCATCAGACACAGGCCGCTGCGATGCATTTCACGCTCCCACCACCAGCCACCACGATGTGTCAGGGACATTTGCCCCAACTCCCCGCTCTTTCTAGTGGTCCTGCTGGTGCCACTACTTCTGTCCTCTTGTCACAATCGGCCCTTCCTCTCCCTACCCATTACCGGCCCCTGACGTATGTTCCACAGTTTCGATGGGACCACCTCCCATAGTTTGACGGCAGGGCCTCCGAGCTCCAAGGATGGATCACCACTACTGAGGAGCAGCTTCGCTACCATGGTGTCGCCATGGAACTGTGGCCCGTTGAGATGTCCTCTCGCTTTACAGGTCGTGCAGCCTCCACCTGGTGCGACTTCCTCGCCCTTCGCTCACAGCGTGGTGTACATGAGGGCATGTCTTATCATGAGTTTCGCAACTTCCTTCAACAATACTTTTCTCGTCTTGTGCCAACCCGCAACCCGGTTACCCGTGTGGCTGAGATCAGATGGCTCGGTGGCGACAATGCTTTAGAGTCATACATCACGGCATTTCACCATGTACGCGCTCAGATTCCAGTCACAGCCATTCCCGAGGACACCACGATCCAGCGATTCCGCGCAGGTCTACCTCAGTCATTCCAGTTGCAGATGATGACGTACTCCATCTCCACCTTAACAGAGGCTTTCAACATTGCTAGGGCCATTTATCTCACCTATGCTCCACTTCGTCGGCCCCTCGCCTTAGTCCGCCGCTGCCCATTCCGCTACTACTACAGCACCTCGCCCCTCCCATTCTCGACAGTCCTCCACATACCGTCGTGGCCCTCGTAGAGGCTCTGGACGATTCCTCTCTCGTCGCTTGCATGCGCTGCTTCGTGATCCGTCGAGCATTGATGATGGCACTGCCTCAGATGATTCTGCGAGTGACCCAGATCAGGGACCCGACCCTCACTCCCCCGCCGAGGACGACGCCTCTTCCCATGACGACCGTCTTGTCCGGGCCCTTTCCACCCTCCTCCGACGTCAGCCCTCATTCTCCAAGACTCGCTCTACGGTCACTCAACTACCCCTCCCAGCGGGCTTTGTGTTCCCTCGCATCCGCTTGACCATCGTTGAGAGTGAGGACCTTCGCACACGAGGCATCTGCACCCGTTGCCGCCTCGCCGGCCATACCTCCTCTACCTGCCCGTACGCAGACGCCCTCCAGAGTCACTTCGCACAACAGGCTTGCCCTTAGGCTGTTCCCCCCGTCTCGACCTCCAACAGAGCAACCACCAAGCTGCAATGTCCCATTTCCCTCACTCTCCTACAGTAGCAGGCATACCCGTTCACAACTCTACCTTTGCACCGCTTGCGACTCTTCCCGATGACTCTGGTCCAACCTTATCTGTGGGTGACCCTATCGACACTGGTATGCCTTCTCCTTCCTTGCCTAGCGTCCCTCGTTGACTCTGGTCCAACCTTATCTGTGGGTGACCCTATCGACACTGGTATGCCTTCTCCTTCCTTGCCTAGTGTCCCTCGTGACCCCCCTCCTCCACGTCCTCCTACCAGGTGTGCTCTTCGCACGGCCCGTTGAGTGCTTCCCTTATTGCAGTCGAGGATATCATTGACTTCCTGGACCTTGCGTGTGTTAAGGTCCACCAGGAACGTCTCCGCCTTAAAGAGCCCCACACTGTAGATTCGGTGGTGCCTGATCTTCCATTCTCCTTCCCCCTGCGGATGCCCCACACCCTTCGCAAGGCCCCTCGGTTCCATGACAAGTGGACCTTCGATGTCATGGAAACCCTATATGATCTCATCCTCGACACTGCCTACTCCCATCAGTTCGCCCATGCCGGCCCCGATTGGACCCACAACGATCTCGTCCTCGACACCAAGGATGGGAAACAATACCGTATTTCGTTGTTGGGCAAATCAAACTCTACACTTCCCCCCCCCCCTGTTAATTTCACCATTTGTACACCTACCGAGTTCCACCACCTCCTTCGTGAGCCTGATGTAGAACTTTATGTTGTCAACATCACGGATCTCCTCACCTGCAACTCCATGCATCAGGACGCTGAGTTGGTCGAGCTCGATCCACCACCTCCCGAGCCCCCCGACCCTCCAGATTCCTCAGCTTCCTTAACCTCCTCTACCCCTGCTAGCCCACTTCACTTTCTCGCTTCCCTTACCACTGATACACCCTCAGTCCCTACCCCCATACAAACCCCCTCCACCTCTGCTTCAGACGCTGCCGCTGCCAAGGAAATTGAAACCCTTCTTTCTTCCTTGCCGCCTAGCGTTGGTGCCCTCCTTCGTGAGTATCATGATGTTTTCCCACCATCCGTCTCCTACAACAACATTCCTCCCATGTGTGGTATCAAGCACCACATCCAGCTCGGGCCCAACTATCGCATTCAGAATCGCGCCCCTTATCGCCTTTCGGTTCCCGAAGCCTAGGAACTCAAGCGCCAACTTGAGGAGCTGCTTCGCCAGGGCTTCATTAAACCGAGTACTTTCCCATGGAATGCCCCGGTCCTCTTCGATCGCAAGAAGAACGACACCCTTCGTCTTTGTATTGACTACCGCGGTCTGAACCACTACACGGTCAAAAATAGCTATCCCATGCCTTGCGCGGATGACCTATTTGACCGCCTCTCCGGCTACCATTGCTTCACGAAGATCGATCTTCGTAGCGGATATCACCAGATTCGCATAGCCGAGGAGGACCAGCCCAAGACCGCTTTTCGTTCTCGTTTCGGGCACTACGAGTTTACCGTCATGCCTTTCGGTCTCCGTAATGCCCCCGCCACTTTCCAGACGGCTATGAACACGATGTTCCAAGACCTTCTTGAGGACTATGTTCTAGTCTACATTGACGACATCCTGATCTACAGTCRTACCCTAGASGAYCACCTGACCCACCTTCGCACTGTCCTGCAGCGACTACGCGACCACGGGTTCTATGCGAAGCTTTCCAAATGCAGCTTCGCTCAACCCAAAGTCGACTTCCTCGGGTATCAGGTCTCCGAGCACGGACTCCACATGGACGACTCGAAGATTCAGGCCATTGTTGACTTGCCCACTCCTACCTCTCTTCCTGCGCTGCGTAGTTTCCTTCGGTTGACCAACTACTATGGTCATTTTCTTAAAAACTATGCGCAGTATTCTTCCCAGCTTACCCCTCTGACTCGCGGACGTCTACCTTTTCATTGGACCCCGGCTCACGAGGATGCTTTCCACTCTCTCAAGCGACTTGTCACGTCAGCTCCTGTCTTACACTAACCCGACTACTCGTGCCCATTCATCATCACCACCGACGCATCCGACTTCGCTATTGGAGTTGTTCTCTCCCAGACCTACCCATCCCCCTCTACTTCTCTCGATTCCACAGAGTCCCGCCTACCTCGCATTCCTCGCTTCCCTCCTCCACCTCCAGCGACTGCGGCTCATCTTGCACCCATCTAGCCCACCCCCTCAGGGGCCCTACCCCCGTATATTCCTGACGTCGCTGATGACGGTACAGTTGAGTCTCGCGATGGAGAGTGTCCGGTTGCTTATCTATCTCGACAGCTACTTCCCGCTGAGCGTGACGAGCGCGAGGTCCTTGCGCTGATCTACATTGTTAAGAAGTGGCGTCACCACTTGCACGGTCACACTTTCACTGTTTGGATGGACAACTTTGTCCTCGCCGCCTTCCAGACGAAGCCTAAGCTCACTTCCCGTCAGGCTCGTGGGTGGCGTGACCTCTCCGAGTTCGATTTTACCATCAAGAAGACTTCCGGCGAAAGCAATCGCGTAGCAAATGCCTTATCCCGCCGCCCCGACCTTCAGTGCGAGGATCATCAACTATCTGCTATTTCAGCTCCCACCATCCACCCCGCCTTTTTGGATGAGTATCGCCGCGCATACACCCAGTGCCCTGAGTTTCAGTCCATCTACGTCGACCTACAGGCTGGCAAGTCCGTCCCTAACTTCCAGCTCGATCCCTCTGGACTCCTATACTGGCTTGGTCGCCAATGTACTCGTACTCCTCGCTTATGTGTGCCTTCTACTGGTCAGCTCCGTGTTCGGGTTGTCGCTGAGTGTCACGACCAGCGCACAGCCGGTCATCTCGATGTCTTCAAGACACTTGACCGCCTCTACCGCCATTACTACTGGGAGCACCGTCGTCCCTTCACTAAGGAGTACGTTCGCACCTGCAGGATCTGCCAGGAGTCCAACATTCCCAAACACCCCCCCTACGATCTTCTTCAGCCCTTACCCATTCCCACTCAGCGTTGGACTTCTGTCTCCATGGACTTCATCGGTCCTCTTCGTCCCCCCACCCCACGAGGCCACGACGCCATCTTCGTCGTTGTCTGCCGGTTGACTAAGCATGCTCACTTCCTCCCTTGCAAGTATGCTAGTTCCGCCAAAGACATCGCCTCCTTATACTTTAACCGCATTGCCATTCATCACAGTCTTCCCACTAGCATCATCTTTGATCGCAATCCCCGCTTTACTTCTCATTTCTGGCGTGGACTCCATGAGATCTATGGCTCTGAGCTCCGCCTCTCTTCCTCCTATCACCCCCCGTCAGATGGACAGACCGAGGTGACCAACAAAACTCTTGGGAGTATCCTCAAGAAGTTTGTTGAGAATGACTCTGATCTGCATCTTGCTCACGCAGATATTGCTTATAACCATGCGATTTCACCTGCCACTGGCATGTCTCCCTACTACTGTGACTTGGGATACCATCCTCGTGTCCCATCTGACCTTCTCCGTCCATCTCAGATCCATCCCGACACCAAATGCCCTGCCCTCGATGACTGGGTAAAGGAGATGGATGTGCTTCTTAGCAAGGCTCGTGAGAGCATTGCTGACTCCCAGGCTCGCATGGCCACTCGCGCTAACCGCTCTCGCATCGACCATCCCTTCAAAGTTGGCGACGAGGTTCTTGTT